CGCCGCCCGCCCGCACGGGGGCCGCCGCGCGGCGGGGAGGAGCCGGGGCTGGAGCCGGAGGCCGAGGCGCCCAAGCAGCCGGAGCGGAAGCTGTGCGCGGAGCACGGGCAGGAGCTGAGCCTGTACTGCCAGGAGCACGAGGCCATCATCTGCGTGCTCTGCGCGCTGCGCGGCGCCCACCAGCACCACGCGCTCGTCACGCTGGACGAGGCGTACCGCGCCGCACGGGTGAGCGCCCCCCGCGCCCCCTCAGCAGACAGGCAGGGTTGGCCGCCGCGCCGCAGTCACTGCTGCTCTGTTTCTCTCTGAATCTGAGCCGCCCCACGGCAGGGGGTGAGAAACCGCCCTTTCCCCCCTTCTAGATCTTCAGTTTCTGTTGGCCGGAAGTCATCCAGCTGCCATCCGGCCCTAGCGCAGGGCGGGGTTGAGGGGGGAGTCCTGCCTAGGCACAGCAGTGGCGAAGGGAACTGGTGGCCGCAGGTTTGAACTCGATAGCGGCTGGACTAGATGACCTGTGGAGGTCCCTTCTAGCCCTGCTTCTCCACGATTCAGTGATTGGTGGGCATCTGAAACAGATCAAAAAGCCCAAAGTGGGGCTTTTGTTTGTGTTTATGGCAGTTGGAAAGATGGGTTTAAAAGCTTGGGAAGGTAAGCCAGGCCTGCAAGGTTTGGCAGTCGTATTGTTATTGGGTCAGATCCACCGTTGGCTCATAGCCCTTTTGTGCAGGCGTAAGGGCCACAGGGCACTTTTACACATGCTCAGTTGGGGGGGTGCTTTAATTAGAGCGGTTCTGAGAGCCATTGTAATTAAAGCATTGCCGCATTTCCTGCATCAGGATCCCTGTGCTTAAAAATGGCAACGGGGCACTTGAACTACAGCTTATTTGACGATGTGTAGTTCAAGCACCCCCCACCACCACCATTTTTAAGCGTAGGGATGCTGATACACGAGACGCAGGAGACTGGTGGGGCTCGGCAATTGCCACAGTCCAGCAGACTCGGTTACTTGAGTCTGCTTCGCCACGCTGGAATTCCAGTGCATCAGAGCAGCCTCAGCGCCCGTGCTATAGGCGCCCACAGTGCCGGTGTCTCCTGTGGAACGGCCAAATCTTGGGGAGCCGGCCAGTGGTGCAGCGGGTCTTGGTCGTCTGGGACTTCTGTGCACTGCAGCACTTTCTCATTGCTGAATCTCTTCAGAGGTGTGATAGTGGAAAATGAAGGACAGGATAATCCTCACAACAGCAGTAGCTTGTATCAGAGACTAAAATGGACCTTGCACCCATGAGTAAGCAGGAGGAAGGGATTTAAGCCACCTCCCCTCCATACATGCACCAATGCCTAGAATTATTCCTTGAAAGCAATCTAAAAAGGCTTGGGCATCATAGGTTTGAGTTTCCTCTTCCACAGGCCTCATACTGGGCCCATCTGTTGATATCAAAAGATGGAGTGCTGTATGCACATTAGCTGGAACCACGTGGGAAAAGACCCCTCTGTCTGCTTTTTTGTGCACTAAAGCGATAACTATATTCCCTGTTGTATAGCATTTGTAAGAAACAAATAGTAGACTGGTCTACTTCTGACACTGTTGGACTGGAGAAACATCACCGTGTGATTTTCTGAAAGCTGTGCGTCTTGCTGTTTTAAGTACAATAACATAGAACCTGCCCTTAGGTACTACATTTTACATCAAAACGGACTGCTGGCAACAGATTTCTAAGGAGTGAACTGTGGATATTATAAGGTGACCACTAAAAACTAGATGGCTCCGAGTGCAACCATGTGATTAGGATTCTTAGTGGGCAGAGTAGTACAAAAATAATCAAGTTTAGATCCCAACTCCTTCCTAAGTTTTATGGAGTCTAGTTATGGCATTTTCATGTGGTTGTATCAGGAGACTGCCTTTTCGAAGCATGATCCTTGTTGCAAGCTTTATTCTCAGTGTAATCTTTCATTAAAATATTAGGCAAATTTATCTTTCAGTGTGTTCACACCTTTCCTCCAAAAAAGCAGAGGCATAGTTCTTGGTGTCTGGATTTTCAGTAAACTTAGGGGAAGCTTTCCTATATATGGTTAAGTGCATAGCTTCTGGATTGAAAAGAGGCTAGGCATATATTTGGAGTATGTGTTTATCTGAACTCGGTGCCCGTTGAGTACACAGCCCTGTGCTAGCAGCAGCCCTAAAAGTGACTAGCTGCACACTATTTCAAAGCTACTATAATAGTTCCAGAACTGCTAATAAAGGAAAATGTGGGGACATAGTCCGTTTCCAGGGCTGTTACGAGACAGCTCTGTAAGCAGCAATTATTAAGTATGCCGCCCCTTCGCTGTTGCCATATTAGCAGACCTGGAACTGGATAGCTTCCTCATTTTTTAATTTTTTCTAGTCACTCTCAAGATCACTAATAGAGAGAGAGGAGCAGCCATGAAGCTGATTCTAGTGTCTCATTTTTTTCAAGGCATGTAATAGCAGCCCTTTGACACCTGTTTCCCATTCCCTCTTTCAGTTAAAATGCAATGTGTATAGTTAGGAAGCAGATAGCAGGGCTAAAAGATGCTATTCACTCAAGCTGCTTGTGCATTTAATATATATGCAGATAACTGGAATTTGTTACAAGATGAGAACAAATTGGGACTGTGTTATACAGTACACTGGTGTACATATCTAGTACGCAGATAAACTGAGTACATGGGTCTCTGATATACCATTGCCCTGATTTAAACTGTTCTGTTAGAGTACTTTTTATTTGGAAACCAAGTAGGCTGGTGCAAATCCATCAATATCAAAATATATTCATATTAGAAATAGTGCTTCTTTTATTGAGTGTCCATTGAAGTTGGCTGCAAGTCTGCCATTAGCCTTAATAAAAATATTGGGTCCATATTTTCTTGTATTCAGTATTTCTGATAGCTGTATGTGGTAGAGGCTGTTCCATCTTGTATTAAAGCTAATTTATATAATTTCCTTTGCCTTTTACCGTTTGTCCAAAATAGATCCAGGCAGATAATTTGCAAATGGGATATTGTAGCTAAGCACTGTGATGATTATTAGTATTTACCTTTAGCTTAAACCTTGCATACTGTAGGGGAGTTTTCAGTCATGGCTACTGCCAGCTGAGCTTCACCAGAGCTAGAAGTGGCATTTGTAGTGCAACAGAGTCCCTGTTTTGACCATTGTGCCATTCAAACCTGATCTGACCTGGATTGGTTAGAAAATAGGGTGTTTAAAATGAATCTACCTGTTTCTTGGTTTGAGCTAGTGCTCATGCTTCTTTAGCTGAACTGATGCCACCCAAACTTTACTATAGAGATCCTTATGTCTGGCACTGCAGCCTCGACAAACAGTTGGCTAAACCAAGTTTAGTTTTTCTGTTCTTTGGGCATTAGGGGCAGCTGCAAGAACATGTATGGGCTAGCCTCACTAAGCCATCATCGCCATCTGTTTCTCCACCTTTTCCTATTAAACAGCATATATATTTCTGTTTAGGGAGTGGAAAAACTATGGGGAGAAAAGCTAGAGAGAAAGACAAAAATAGAAAAGGAGGTGGAGAAAAAAATAAATTGGAGGGCAGGGAGCTGGGTGTAGGAAATTAAAAAAAAAAACTGGACTGGGTCACTGGCATTTGAGGATGTGGTGAAATGTGCAATTGCAGACAATAATATTTTCACTGCAGTTGGAGACAATATAAGGAAATTTTGTAGCAAAATGTTACCTGAGCAAGTGGCTGTTCTCATAACAATGTTGGATTTCTTTGGTGTAATGGTCTGTCATCCTGTTGCCCTCTCCTAACTTAAGGCTGTTTACTCTGTTTCTGTGTGGTGGTGACGCAATGTACTTTGCGCTATAAACTGGGAGATTCTTGTATATTCCAATAGCCTGCAACTGCATTATACCCTGGCAACCCAAGACACAGCTGGTAAGTCTAATTTTAGGCCTCCCCTCCAGCGTTGATGGTTGTTTTCCTGAGATCCCAGGAAAAGTGCTTCTCTGTCTAAGGAACTGTGGGAGGTTTGCAAAGCCACGGTGTTAATTTTCTAAATACCAAAATAGTCAGTGGAAAAAAAAATAGGAGTCTGTTCATTACTAGAAGCCATTTATCTGTTTGCTTTCTTGACAATAGTCTTATTTGTTCCTTAGCAGCCCAAATGGCTAGCAAAGAGACTTCTCACTCTTTCTTCCTCCTGCTCTTTGACTGTTCTTTACCGTAAACCTCTCTGGGATCAGAGAGACTGGATCAATGATCCAAGAGGTAATAAGCTATTAATCCTTCAGCCTCTGTGGTACATCTATCCCTTAACAGTAATGACTGAAAATTGTTACCATCAGATGGCTGCCCAATGACTGGCCTTGTGGGATTTGACTTTGGTCTTAGTTCATCTCTCCATGGCTGTATCCTGAAAGCTGCTAACACAAGTGAGCTCCCTGGTGGTAGTTTCAGCTGCTAGGGGTGATCGGGACTGGGGCAGTATGGGGAAAACTTGCCTGCTCTCTTTGCTCTGCCTGTTTCATTTCTTAAATGAACACTAAGGCTCAGCTCAGGAAAGGCATTTGATGTCTAATTCTCATAGACTTCTCATTCAAAAGGAAGGAGCCTTTGTCATGGTGGGCTGGTGCTTGGGACCCCGCCACAGTTGTGGGTCAGCTGTCCCCTCTGCAGTCCCTCAGCCCTCCTTGCTCTGTGGTCTCCCGTGCTCCCTTAATGCATTCTCTGATTACTGAACACTGCCAAAAAGTTCAGACTTGAACTAAAGCCTGACTGCTTAGCATCTCTTATCTAAAACCAGGGGTGAGATTCTCATTCCTGCTCCAGCCCCTTTGTGTTGGCTAAAAAAGTTGAATGGTGTGACAAGGGCTCTCTTAAAAAACCCTGTCCCTGCAGGGACAGTATTCCCTGCAGAGACAGTCCTGTGCAAACAGCCAAAAAGCTCCTGAGTTTTCTTTAATAAGCCCTTGTTATGTAGGGGGGTATTCTGAGGGTGGGTCTGGGGAGGTGCAGTAGGGACAAAGCTGCTATTTGCTGAGATCCTGGAGAGTATTATGATGCAGAGCAAAGTCCAGGCCACAGGCCCCCAGGGAATCCTAATTTTATGGGGGGGTTGGAGCCTGCAGAGCAGCCTGGGAACATCAGAATGCACCCTCTTTTTTTTCCCTTGGTTAGCACAGAATTTCCCTCCTTTGTGCATTTTTTTTGGTTGAAATATTCTTTGTCACAAAGGTCACAGAATGAAAT